AAACATTCACTATAATTCCATTTACTCACCTGTAAGATGTTTACTGGGCTCCAAAGATGTTTGGCACAGAACCCGTTCCCCTCAAGGGGACTCTAAATTGAAACACTTCTCTAACATTTTTAAGACTCTAAGACAAAAAACCCACTAGACTCGGCCCATGATATCCCGTATTTGATTCATTTGTCATTATATTCCACCTGCTGCCCACAGGTACTTAAAAGTGGCTCACAATAATAATGTCACAGCCATCAAAACAAGGGCAAGGAGACAAAAACCAAGGAATGAAACAAAGAAGAGACATTTTTTTCCTGTGGCACAAAGCTGAGAAAGATTTTCAAAAAACAGTAGCTTTGGAAATTGCATAACTTATGGTGTTTTCTTTCAAAAGAGAAGAGGTTCCAACACAGACAGCTCAACTCAGCCATATAACAAAACTGGCACACAGAGCAAGGTGCAACCAGGATAATCACAGGCAACTAACACTTAAAAGTTTACTACATGTCTGGATCTAAATTTCACACGTTAACACACTTCATCCCCATCACTGCTATATGAAGCAGGGCTCATGATCCCCACTCTACAGATGAAGAAGCCAACATGGAAAGCACAGTGAGGAGGATGACAAAACTGACTCAGAGAGGTGAAATAACTTGTTCAATGTCACACAGTGAGGTTGTGGGTACAGGTCTGTTGAATTCCAAAGCCAAGCTCTTTCTACTCTGCTGCTTTCCAGCCAACTCCATTTCAAGCAATGTCTCCCAAATTTACCAAGAATCCCAGGTGATTCTAAAAACCTAGGCCCTCTCCCTGAGAGTTGATTCTGTAGTTCCAGATGGATCCTGAGGATTCACATTTAACAGGCTCCAGGTGGTATTCAAAACCAGAGAACATGAACACACTCATCAGCCACACAAATCTGAACCACCACACTACAACATGGCTGCAGCCTCAGAAGAAATATGGACAGTCTCCCCAAAGTTCCTGGGTTCCTACCGCTGAAGGCAATCACTGAGTTACTGAGTTCTGAGACCGAACTCTACTTGTGGTAGCAGGATACCTGTTAGCACATTAGACAAAAAAGGTGCCCCCACAAAACCACAGGTCATGTTGGAAATCCTTTCACTCAAGACTGGTCTTAGACACCCCCGAGATGATCCCACATTTAGCTGATGAAGCAACCGAGGCAGTGATAAGTGAATGTGCATGTCTACAGTCACAGAAGTCTCAGTGGGCTCTAGCCAGCACATCATACCACCTCAAAGGGACACTCAGCACTGCAAAGAATGCAATACAGGCTTTGCTGGGGTGCACACAGGGCAGCCAGGGTCAACTGCAGAAATACTCCCACTTGCCAAGCCCTGGGCCCAGAGCCCTCCAAAGAGCAGCTGTGGAGCAGATCACAATTCTGCCCAAACTCTCCACAGCCACCATGCCCTTCCTCACAGCACTTCACAGTTTTGGAGTTTACATTTGCTTGTGTGACTAATCATGTGCCCACACCCACTACCCCCAGACTATAAGCCTAAGTCATTACCTAAGATCATTTCTGTTGCCATATTACACTTGTTGAACCAAAGCATGAGAGCACAAAGAAGAGACAGAAGGTGAAGGAGTTGTCCCCACAGGGCATTAGGGGAGATACAGGAACCACAGCAGGCCTGGGCTGGCACCTGGGTGACAGGACCCCACGGGGTGGGGAGGGGTGCATGGCCTTTGCCCAACAGGGTGGGAATGGGTGTGGCTGCAGTAACAGCACATACCTCAATGGCAGGGCCAGGGCTAGAGGCCAGAACATGAACACAAGAACACAGCCATGCAGGAGCACAGGGAACACGACCAGGGCACCTGAAATGCCAGCTCTGGGCTATGCCAATGCGGGCTGAGTTAGAAATGTGAGTTACTAACTACAATCACCCTCATCAGCACCCTCTGCTTGGCCCAAAAAACCTAAGTCATTAGTGTAAAGGGCCCCTCCAAGGCTAAAGCTGACACACTACGGTTGCTGATGTGGCAACACTGGCCACCTGTGGGTCACCCACAGCCACCACAGGTCAGAAGCCAAGAATGACAACAGACTATGCAAGTGAGCCAGGGACGCAGAAGTCACAGCTGGAAGTGAGGAATCCAACAGCAGGATCACCGGCAGACCAGTCCTACACACAGGTCCACAGGATAGTGGGCTCCTGGGAAAAGGCACAATTATCTGTATGACACTGTGCCTGCTTTATGAGACAGAACACACATTTTAGACAAGAAGAACAAGGCAACTGGTCTGAATTCAATAACCTAGCTCTTCTAGAAAGACAAAGATGGCATTACCTTGTAAAGAAGTTACTAAATGGTCCCAATAGTTTCAATTTACTCCCCTCCTCAGTTTCATAAACATAGTCCTGCTGCTGTAGGCCAGTGGTTTCCTTGATGGAACTCAGGGTGACACTGGTAAACTGTGGGTCATCATCATTCTCCAGGGTCACGATGGCACTAGAGCTGCTTGTGACCACGAGGTCCAAGATGTCCTCATTGCTAACAGACAGCGTGGTTGACAACTCTGTGCCAAGACTGGACACACTACAGATGAAGACATCATCGCTGCGGTTCAGGGCTTTGGAGGTGGGGCTGTAGAGCTTTACCGAGTCATAGCCTGTCCTGGGAAACGTAGAAGACTTCCGCACACTCTGCTCCCGCTCAGCGCTGGTGGAAACTGGTGGTGCACAGGATGGCAGTGGGCACGCGCTCTGGAAGGCCCGCTCGGGGATGATCTCCGACTCAGACTGTTTCCTCTTCACATGGACCACGCTGCAGGGGACAGGTTCTGGGTTGCCAATCTCCAGGGTAGGAATGCCTGAGTCCACTGACTGAAGGCTGTGCTGATCTTCTAAAGCACCGAGTTTTAGCCTGGGACCATAATCAGGTGCCGAGAGGAGAACCTGGGTGTGTTGCAGGTTCTGAAGGGAGTTTCCTGGTCGACCATCCAGAATGTCCATCAAGGCTACACCATTTGTAGAGGTGGAAAGGTTTCCATCAGTCATCTTGGTCCAAAAAGAAACTAGAAAAAAACACGAACATGGAAATTAAGAAAGTGGATATAAACCCAAAGATGCCACTCCCTTGACACACAGCTCAAACATTCTGATGCCCCTTTTAAAGGAGAAAGCTTTGAAGAAAGTCCTACATACCCAAGTTTTGATTCAGGACCAGAAGCTAGAGTTTTAACATATACTATCATGATATAAAATAGCAGGAAGATAACTCGAACAAAGGGCACATCCAAGGTAAAAATAATCATCTTCATTATCATCACCCTACCAGTCACTCTTGATCCCCAGGACAGCACTGGGAACACGAGGACTGTATTAGGCAGAAAGGGGAGTTTTATTGGAGTTTTTCTTTTGGGGGAGATTAAATGATAAACAGGATACCTCTGACAAAAGTATGTGTATTCATAACCCATATATAAGTCAAGGTTCTATTTGTTCTGAGACAGCATAAAAATCAACTACCTGGTTGGTTCGAGTGCAGTGGTGTTTACAAATAATTGATCACAACCAGTTACAGATTCCTTTGTTCCTTCTCCACTCCCACTACTTCATTTGACCAGTCTTAAAATAAATAAAGTATCTTCATTAAGACAGAAAACAACAAAATAAATTACATATGCCATTTGCAGTGAGACTACCCCAACCACATCCAAGTTGGCTGTGCCTCTCCACAAATGTTTCAGTCATGCTTATCGTGTCTATGAGGTAGGGCATAGCATCCACTTTACCGGGGAAGAAACTGAGGCTCAGAGAGCTTAGAAATGGATCCAAGATCAAACTGCTATTTAGCAGCAGAGCTGGAAATCTATGGGACCCCAAAGCAGACCACACCTAAGTTAGAGTGGCTTAGTATAGGGCTATAAAAACCCAGGACGGGAGGCTGGCTCAGTGAAGATAAATAATCAACAAAGAAAGAATAAAGACCTATGAGACTTGCATGAGAAGAGGCAAAACTGTTAGTAACACACACACATCTACGGCCACGTCTAAAGTTCTCTGGCCTAAGACAAGTGGGGAAAGAGGGTACAGGGCACACCAGCCTGGAGAACACAGCCCCCAGAAGACTGAGAACCCTGGCATATGTTACCTCTATTTTCCTTTAAAATACCAAAACTAAAAAAATCAGTCAGTGCATTTAAATCTGATGGACAGAATAGAACATAAAGAACAGTACTTTGGACTCAGACATTCCTGGGTTCTAATCCCAGCTCCACTATATTGCCTTGGGAGAATTAAATAAAGTACCACAAGGAAAGCATTTAATAGGCACCTGGCCCCCAGCAGGCATTTTGTTGGTAGCTGCTATCATCAAACAGCAAGTCTTGAAGGTTCTCAAGCCTAGAAGTAACAATAACCACTCAGGTCTGGGTGTCTTCAGCTTTTGCATCAAGCCTTCATGCTCCCCTTCAAGAAGCCTAACCTGCCTCTTTGTCAACACAGCAAAATCAAATTCATTAAAAGCAGAAAAAGGGGAAAGGAGTACTCTCCCTTCCTCCCAAAAATTGAAGGAGCCAGACAGTACAGTACTAGAGCACAAATAGAAATGTGAAGGAATGAATCAAAATGCAGAATACAGAAATAGACTGAACTATATATAAAAACTTGAAATATGACCCAGTGAGTAAGGAAGGATTATTTAATTATGGTGTTGTACTAATTGACTATTAATTTTTCTTAGGAGTTAGAACCACACTGTACTACACCAAAACAAAAATGCAGACAAAATTACAGTTTAATACAAAAGTGAAATTATAAAGGTGCTGCAAAAAAATAAAATGTTTCTCTAACCTACAGAGAGAAAATTCAGTTCACCCTCCGAAAGAATCTGGGCATCACCTGATCACACATGAACATGTTTTAAATGTTTCGTGGCTCACATTGCCCTGGGCTGGAGCCTCTACCCTAGCCACAGGTCCCTCCAAGGCAAAGCCACTGCAGACCATCTCTGTGTCCCTTGCTCTGGGAAAATCCATCAAGTTGCTATGTTATGAAACAATAGAATGCACAAAAGGAAGAGACAGGTAGATTCAAATACATACAAATTCAAAAGTTCTACATTTCTTTAATTGAAAGGAAAATACAGTAGGAAACATCTTTAGCACATAGCTAAGAGCTTATCTTTGACAATGTCAAAAGTAATTAGAATTATCAAAACATCATCAACACTCTTAATAGATGAAACTGGCAAAAAGCCATAAACATAAGAGGAAATCCTCACACCAAACAGAGCTGAGAGCCTCTGAAAGGCCCAGCTGAAATCCTGGCTCTGCCACTTACCAGCTGGGGCAACCTCAAATGAGGTGCTTAACCTTTCTGAGCCTCAACTTCCCTCCTCCCCAGCAATAAAATGGGACAATGCCATAAAACTCACAGGCTGGTCTGGGGATAAAAGAAATGAGATTTGGTGAAAGCACTGGCAAACCGAGCACCTAATACACAGTAGGTACCCAACAAACAAGTGCATTTCCTCTACTTCCTAGCCACATAAAGAGCTACAGTACCTGCAAAAACTGGATTTAAATTGTTACAAAAGAGATGTGGGTTAGCCCACAAGAAATTCTGACACTAGAGTAGACAGAGAACACACAAAAGTCTATCTTTCCTAGGAAAACCAGTGCGTGGGCAAACAGAAGCATCCACTCATGTCTATGGAATTGGAAACCATTTAAGTGAAACTACTGAATTTCATTCATGGCAATCCAAGGACCTCTCTCTGAATTGCTGCCAAGACAAAAGCAAAGGGAAGCAGGAAGCAAGGTCTGGCAGAGCCCAAAGCCATTTGGTTGTGGCCTCTTTTTCTACTGCTCTTCTCTGCCTTGGCAAGGGACAGTAGCCCGAGGGCCTCTCCTAGGGAGACGCTGAGCAACCTTTGAGGTCTCAACTGGTTCCGACTCCAGTTTAAGTTCCTTAAACCTCAGAAACAGAGTGTCAGTCTTCGGGGAAATAAACCTAAAAGGGAAAAAGCACTTCCACTTGCAACACTCTCTAAAACCAAACTCTGCAGGGGCCAAGGCCACCTGTCCTCAAGCCCTTCTACCTGGTGCCACCAGTACCATAAAACCAGAAGCGACACTCCAGGCCACCTGCCTTCTGATGGTGCCCTGTACAGGGGAGGTTGATTAAACAAGGTGTGTGCTTCTGAAACAAGGCTAAAGCATGGTCTCTGGAAGCTGGCCAGGAGGCCAGCTGCAGATGGCCTGCCTCCAAGTCCCACATTTTCTAAAGACACACGGAGCCTAAATTCCCCAAGCCAGCACACAGACCCTCCTAATCTGAATGCCTCCCCAACCCTGTGCTATTATCCTCCCCTCTCTCAACATCCAGCCCTACTGTGTCACCACCTGGGGAGTGCCCTCCCAAGCTAGAAGATCAGGGGCCTCCAGGGCTCCAGCAGTGTGTGGCACAAGGAGATATTCAATTAGTGCGTTCAAAAGCCACCTCCTCTGAAAAGCCTTCCCCAACTCTTCCAGGAAGCTGCCTCCAAGGTTCCTTCCTCCAAGGCTCTTTTTGGCCACACCCCACCAGAAACAACTGCATTTTACAACTAACTGTTCTCACATCTCTCACCCCACTGGATTCTACACTTCAGGCAGGCATAGTTCTAATAGTTTCTGGATACCACTGCCTAGTCAAATGCCTGGTGTGGATTAAGGATTCAAAAATCTACTTGCTAAATTAATTATTACTAACAACTAAGTTCTTAACTGGGTAGGTTTCAGGGACAATCCCATTAACATCTATCTGCTGAGAGCTGAGTTACACTGGAACCTGGTGAGCACTGGCGTTAACAATACAAAAAAGAAAACCCCCCACCACCTCGTTCCCAGCAGCATTTGTGGACAACAGACAAAGCAACTAAGCAATGACCTTCCTATATATCATGTTAGGAACTAGATGAGACAGTGAGGAACACTGTCAACACTTGATGGGTCAAGAAAGTGAAAATTCCTCCCTCTACATTTGTTTTCCAAAGTCCAAATCACTAACATCCAAGTGACACCATCTCCCTGCAGCAGCAACTATCACAGTATGCATCCTCAGATGCTCAGGCAGAGCACATTCGAGGAACGGCCTCAGCATCTAGCCCAGTACTCTGCCGTGGGAGGCACCAAATACAAATTTAATGGTGATCAGTCATCACTTTCTGGACAAGAGAAAAACATGCAAAATGCAAAGTATGCAGAAGAGGAAGATCGTTTTTATTTCATGCAACAAGACTGTCAGAATCTTATTTACCTGTCACAACACTAAGTTCCACAGGAAGCAAAGAGTATAACTGCCCTGAGGGAGCCAAACAACGGTCACTCCACCAGGGACACATCTTTAGTGCAATACAGTCAGAAAGTGGACAGCTGCTCTGCTGGTGATTCTGGATGCGGCCTTGGAGAACAATTCCATCTAGAAGCAACAGTTTGATTTTTCTCCTCCTTAAAAAGCAGTGGAACAGGCCTCAATCAAAGTCTTCATAAACAAACAGTTTATGAAGCCCAAACCAAATGATTTAGTTATGCTCCCACAGGGGGAGAAAAAGTGCACTCATTAGTGGCTTCAGGGAGAAGTCATGCTGCCATCTGTGCAGACACCCTCCAGCTTTCTCTTCCTGTGGATCCCTGTCGGAGCTGCCTCTTCAAAGCCCCAACGGCAAGGGGGCACTGCTGCTCTCTCTGATCCTGGAAGGCTGGTACACTCACCTTTACTGCCAACCCTGCCATCACTCCAGCTCTTTCACTGATTTCCAGATTCTTACTAAAGGTCAAGCATGCACAGCTCATTTCTAATCAGCATGGCCTGAGGGCATATATGTCACAGAGCCAAAGTGTCAGGAGGACAAGACCAGGCCTGTAACGTGTGACACAACACCAGAGCGTCTTCATACAACTGCAATTTAATGAGTACCAGGCACTGTTCTAAACTCTAATACACCATTCTGTGTTATAGCCCCTCAACAACCCTATGAGCTGGGTATTATTGCCCAGAGGAGGAAATTGAGGCTTGTGGCTTGCCCA